TGACCTGGGCCTACCCTGGTGGGGGGCCATTGCTGCATGTAAGGGGAATATATTCTGGGCAAGGGTAGAAGGGAGGAGCCCTGGTGGTACAGTGGTTAAGTGCTCAGCTGCTAACCAGAAGGTCAGCAGTTTAAACCCACCAGCCACTCCACGGGAGAAAGATGTGACAGTCTGCTTCCGTAAAGATTACAGCCTTGGAAACCCTACAGGGCAGTTCTACTCTGTCCTATAGAGTTACTATAAGTTGGAATCTACTCGTTGGCAACAAGCTTAAGGGTAGAGGAAATGGGGACTTAGGGATTGACCCTTAAAGATGGTAGTCTGTAAGTGGATCAAGAAAATGGTTGCAGAAGTTTAAGTGTCAGAAAAGCAGATGATTCAAATGAGGGATAGAAGTTCATGATACATAGATGTCTACTTATTTTTCCTAAAGAGCATTATAGAATCACTAGATCATCTAGGATTCAAAAACGATCAATATTTGAATGTGAGCATAGAATTAGAATAAAGAGACCCTATTAACAGTGATGAAGCTGCCTGATTTAGGAGAGAGGGTCAGATTAGGTATTTAGACCCCAAAATTGGGAAGCCATTCACATTGCTCCTTTTTTAAAAGGCAAAAACTATGTTTTAAATTCCGTTTCCTTCTGTTTCTTGGTACATGTTGCTCCATCAGTTATCCCTTTTCTCCCGTGTCTTCAAATTCTCCCTCCTTACCCCCTATCCTGAACCTGTAAACGTGCTCAAGCATACCATATATTTCTTGGGGGGAAATTCCTTCCTTTCATCCTTACTTCTCCCTTTATGACTACACTCTTTCTCTCCTTCCTTTCGTAGCTTTATTTTAAAAAGTGGTCTACATCCAGTGGGCCTACTTCTTCTCATTTACTTCTTGCCCCTCAGTAACCTGGATCTTACAAATACCGTTTCATTCTAACTGCCAGTGACATAATTGCTAAGTCCACTTTTCTTAATCATACTTGACCTTTCTGCATTAGACACTTTACACCTAGAAATCTGCCCCTTGGCTTTAAGACAACCTTTCCTGGTTTTCTTCCTGTCTTTCTAACCACGCCATCCCATCTCCATTATCCAGTCCTCCACCTACTGCTTCAATGCTGATATCCTGGCTTCCATCCTCAGCTCCCTTCTCTTTCTACTCCACATCATCCATCATAATGTTAATAAAGCCTAACCAATATCTTCCTCGTCTCTTCTCTGTCCCAACCCACTTGCATATCCTACAAATACTATAAATTAAATATTAGAATGATTAGGAAATACAAAGTAAAAGGAATGAAATAGAAATGAGCTAAGGCACCATATTACCTCCTACTCCAAGGATTTCTAGGACAGTGGCTTTCAGACTTCATTTCTGGGAGTCCCCGAGTTCTGTAAAGATGTATCTGAATAAGGTGAAGATCAGCGCATACACAGTCATCTAGCCAAGCTCTCTCTTCACCCAGAGCAGCCTGATTTTATCTGTTTTATATATTGGGGCTATACTCTCAGTTGAACAAAGCCTCCAAAGAATAGAAAAGTTTGAAAATCATTCACCTAGGAAAATAGATTTTGTTGCCTTTTTACAGGAAACAGGCAGGATTCCTGGTTATCCGCTTAGAGAAGTTAACACAGTCTTTTGTTCTCTGCAGAGAACCAATCCTTGAAAGAATTAAATCTTATGCCTATCCTTAGTTCTGGGCCCCTGGGGCATGAGTCACAGTTTTATAGAGGATGGAATGAGAGAGATGTATTCAGTGAGAACCTAAAAACCTTCCAGTGGCAGAACTGCTTTTAATTTCACTCCAATCCTGATTTGTGTTTTCCAGCTACAGTCCTTGCCCGCTGCCTAGTTTTTCCTCTCATCATAAAGGGCCAGAAAGAAGCAGCCAAGATCCACAACCACTTGCCAGAAATCCAAAAGTTTTCCACTCGAATCAGAGAAGCGAAGTTGGCAGGAGACCAGGCTGAGTGTGAGTCAATTGCAGGATAAGCATGGGAGAGAACCACATTTACACTTTTCCTGAGATTCTGCTGGGGAGGTAGCAGCAACCTACAGCAGGAGTTGCTATAGTTGGGCAAGTTCTAAAGACTTACCTGCTTCCTGGGCCTAATGTTTCCAGTGACTAAAACAAAAAACCAGATCCACTGCCATGTCAACCCTATAGGACAGAGTAGAACTGTCCCATAGAGTTTCCGAGGAGCACCTGGTGGATTCGAACTGCTCACCTTTTGGTTAGGAGACGTAGCTCTTAACCACTACGCCATGAGGGTTTCCTTCTAGTGACTAGCCAAGGTCAAATAGTAATTTCACAGCCCAGGTGATGAGGATGTTCAGATGTTCATCTCCACTGACATAACCATTAGCCTGACCGTTAAACTTCTCCTTACCTCATTAGCCTGACTATTAACTTCCCCTCACCTCCCAGTTTACAGGGCCTGCTCAGAGATGACACTTTACCAGAAAAAGCATGATGTGAAACTCTTTAGACCTCTCATTCTACCTCTGACTCAGGTGAGCAAAAACATTTCCCTCCTTACTTCATCCTGAATCCATCAAATAAGAAGCACAGAGAATTGCTGCCTCTGTGCTTCCTGTGCCCCTGCTTCCCAAAAAGCAGGGGTTGATATTACTCATGGCTTTCAATAATAAGGTAATGAGAAATCTCCCCTCTGCTAAAGAGCCCTGACACTGTTTATCCTGTGTAATAGGCCCCGATCTTCCTCTCCTTCTTCATTGCCCTGAGAGAGATGGCCAACCTTCCAGTGCCCAGCCTCCAGACAGGTGGCCTTTGGTGGTTCCAGGATCTCACAGTATCTGACCCCACCTACGTATTGCCACTGGTAGTCACTGCAACCATGTGGGCTGTCCTTGAGGTAAGCCCAGGCTGGCCAGTGCCTGGCCTGCAAAGCTGATGGCTCTAGTGAACTGGGAATGGGGGTAAAGCAGTTGTGCAGAATGGTCATTCTTCACTCCCTAGAGAGTATAGTTGAAGGGTAAGAAATTAGAGCCAGATTCACTAAAATTGACATGTATTTGCTATTCCTTACCTCTGGGTTTTTTTTTTTTTTTTTTTTTTGGCAGCTAGGTGCTGAGACAGGTGTGCAAAGTTCTGATCTTCAGTGGATGAGAAATGTTATTAGAGTGATGCCCCTGGCAGTCTTGCCCATAACTATCCATTTCCCCTCGGTAGGTAATGGTACAGGAGCTGGCTCCAAGTCCTTCCACATGGCCTTGCTACTTCCTAGCAAACTAACCAGAGATGCCACTTCTGAGTACCTTCTCTTTGTTCTCACCCAGGCAGTTTTCATGTATTGGCTCTCCTCCAATATGTTTTCTCTGGGCCAGGTGGCCTGCCTCCGGATTCCAGCAGTACGCACTGTACTTAAAATCCCCCAGCGTGTTGTACATGACCCTGACAAATTGGCTCCACGGGAAGGCTTCGTAAAGAGCTTCAAAAGAGGTAGGGGCTAGTCCTCTGTGAAACAGGACCAGGGGAAGTGGTGTGAAGGTGGGTGCGGCACTGACTCTTCTCTTTACACAGGCTGGAGGAATGCTGAGATAGCACATCAAATGCAAGAGCGTGAACGACGCATGCAGAATCACTTGCAGCTAGCCGCCAGGGGTAAATAATCATTTCAGTATAAGTTCTGCCCCTTGTTTCTTCCCCTCCTTTGTCCTACAAGACTTGTTTTCTCTTCTTTCCCCAGGTCCCTTACGGCAGACCTTTGCTCACAACCCTCTGCTACAGCCTGGAAAGAATCACCCTTCCACCACCCCAGACAGCAGCAGCAAACCAAAGTCAAAGCAGCCCTGGCAGGACACACTTGGCTGACTTACGTTCCCTGCTCATACTGGCAGGAATGCTGTATCCTCAAAGACTTAGCCCCAGAATTAGGCTCGATGCTGTGCCCTTGCCTCAGTCCTAGGACCTGTGGGACACAGGTATTCATTTTAAAAGTGGATTTCACTACAGACTCTCACACCTGTGTGTAAAACAGAGCACTGGGAAGCCGGGTGATCTTCCCATCCACAGAATTAGTAAATCTCTTCATTACACACTGCTTCTGGTACTTATTAAACAGGGAAATGGGTTGTATGCTTCAGAAAAATGAAGAATGGGTTGGAGGTGATTGCTGTTGATGCCCCATGAGACAGCAAAGTGTCTCAAAATGTTTTTTAAGCAGGCATTAAGCCCCTAAACCCCTCCCTCATAGATGATAGATATGTTGTTGCTATCCACATTTGCATGGCAGTCATAGGGTATGACTGATGAGTTGAGATTTTATCCTAAATATAGTAACCCCATTTGTTGACCCCAAAATTCCCTATAAAATTTCTTTTAAGTAGATGTGTTCAAATTCTTAGTGATAATTAAGAAGAAAGAAAGGTTGATGTCGTTTTTATTAACAAGCTAACATTTTACTATGACAGTTTAGGTGTTTCTCTTGTGTGCCTTGTACGTGTACAGATTGGTTGTGTCAACCTTCAGCAACTGGCTTGGGAGGGAAGAAATACGCAGATACTTTCAGGCATAAGATTGTTCTGTCTTTTCAGTCTAATGGAAGCTATCCCAAAGATGCTGTAGCAAATGAAGCCACTGAAAGCTTAGGAACATATCCTTTTTATTGTTGTCCAGCACCTGTGACAGTTTTCTGTCTCTCTAAAGGAGATGGGAAGCTTGGAGCATTACTGGCCCTTTTAAAGGAAAAGGGGAATGGGTCAGCACAACCCAGAGGTGAGTGAACATCTTAAAACACTTGGAATGTGCTACAAGAACCACCAAACCCACCCTTGACATGCTCCCACCACAGTTTACCATTCCCTTAAAAAAAACCTGGAATACTATGTAGCAAAACAAATAAATTAACTTTCCATCTCTCAAAAAGCAAGTTCACAAGGTTATTGAAGCTGCCTTGACCAGGCATCTGGATAGGTGCCTCCAAAGAAGTGAGCTTTCCTTTTCAACTTCCTTAGCTCCAGCCAGTAGGAGACAAGAGGTCCACATATCAGGATTCACAGTGGTTACTTAGTTAGACTTGGGATCTCGTTGCTTGGGCATCTCTTCCCCATCTTCCAAATCCATCTCTGTAGCAACTGACATACATAGGACCTGGAGGTACCTTGTGGTGGATGCTATAAAAAGAAGTTTGAGTCAAAACAGGGAAGAGGTCCACTGGGTGGAGTTCCAGTGGTACTGGATAGGGCTGGGCCTAGGGGAAATGATTTAGTTAAGCCCCAGGGGTAATAACAGGAAGGGGCTATGGCAAAGATGATTTGGAGCCTAGATTTGCAGAAAAGGCAAACCAAGCTATGTAATAGCTGGGCTCACTTGAGGATCCCAGACTTACCCACCATCTTTCGGAGGCAAAGAGGTCGTTTGTGTTCTGGCACTCTGATGATGAGGAAGTAGAGGGGCAAGCCTGAGAGGGCAATGCCAATGCCAATGAGGGAGTTGACTGTATCACTGTAAAGTGGAACAGCCACCAGAAAGATGGTGCAGAGGCAGAAGACAATGGGGAAGAAAAGGCTGAGCTAAGGGCACAGAGAAAACGCAAATGGAGATTAGACAATTCAGGATTCTTAGCCAGTATAACCCTACCTCCCATGAAGATCAGAGCACTGGACCTTCTTTCCATCCCTTCATCATCTCCACACCACCACCACCACATCCTAAGCAAAGGTTTCTGAATAAACTGTAAACAGTCTCCTATAGCAGCAGCTCTAGCAGTTCCAGACGGAGCAGAGATAATGATTGAGGTGAGTTACCTTGAGGGGACGAGGCCAGTCAGGCTCTTTCCAGCGCAGATAAAGCTGGCCCACAATAGAGAGCCCCACAAAGAACCAGTAGCTGAAGCTGTAGTAGTTAATGAGCTGGAAGATGTCCTCCACACACAAGTAGATCAGTGACATGATACCCTGTAGGCACAAGCCCAAGCCACCTCCTGTCAGAGCATTTATTTTTCAAGGCACTTTTCACTCCACTTTATCCCCTTGTGAAATCCTCAGTCTTCCCCCATCTATTCTTATCCCTACCCACCCCCTTACCATCCTAGTTTCAATACCTCCTTCCTTCTCTATTAGAAGTCAATAGCCTCTCAACTGCTTTTTTAGCCCCTTCAAACCTCTGCCAAGTTAACCTATAAAGCACAGCTCAAAACATAGCCCCTCAAAAACCTTCTGCCTAAGAGCCCCTTCATAATAGCTCCAACCTACATTCCAGCTTTTATCTCCCACTACCCAACTCCACACTGTTTTACCTCCGCAGGATCTTCTAGTGCTGTTTCCCTTACCCATCTCTACTGTTTGGAACTCTTGAGCTTCAAAATCCACTTCAAATACACTTCCTCCAAGAAGTCTTTCCTCATTCACCCTCTACCCCTCTGGAAGTGATCATTCTTTCCTTCGAATACCACATTCCTCACTGTCTTCCATGGCGCTTATTTCATTACAGTGTGTATTCCACGTACTACTTTGTGCCTTCTCTTAGACCAGAGGAGGTTGTCATTCAGAAGAAAAGATAGATTTCTTTGTAACCACTGCAGCAGTTAGCACAATGCCTTGCACATGATGGGTGTTCCAGCAGTACTTTTTCTCCTAGAATCTCTTGTAGGACTTTCAGGAAGCTAGAATATAGTCACATCTGCTGTACTAAAGTTTCTCCCACAAGCCTCATCTCACTTGCAACCCCATCCTTGAGATTACTTACATTGAAGAGCAGAGAAGGTACTGGCGTGAACCGTTCAACATGAATCATGCAGATGGCATCAGGAAGATGGCCTTCTCTTGAACCCACAAAGAAAAGCCTAAAATAGATAAAATTGTGAGACATGGTGCACCTGACACACAGTCCTGCCTCTCTTCCATTCCTTCTTCAAAAGAGTTTGAAAAGTACAGAATGGAGTTCAATATTGAGATTAGTGAGAAATAGAGGCTGCCAATGGGAACAAGAGACTGTGGGTATGATTTGGGGGACACAAGTGGTACAGTCTGGGTCCTTTAAGTCCTACCATCCTACTCCTCACAATACTCCTCAGTAAAGGACACAACTCTTACCTAGAAGCAGCCACAATAGAGGCATTGAGGCCACCAAGGCAGGATAATGCAACTGCCAATGGAATTGTCCAGTTGAATACTCCAAAAATCTGGTCTGCAAAAGACTTAAGGGAAAGGAATGGAAAAGAATCATCCCTTTATTGGAAGCCAACCCTTCCACAACAGGTAACAGGACCTTCCAAGCCCAGTATCCTAAGTATACCCCTTCAAGGCTATCTACACCCTTTCAAGAGCTGGGATATTCCCAGAAGCCCACAAACACACCCTCAGTCTTTTGCTAGCCAAAGTCCTTTACCACAGCAACAGCATCACTGGCCAGGATGTCTCTCATGTCCAGCACAGTGTAATAGGCCACATTGGTCAGGATGTAGATGATAGTAACAATGGGCATGGAAATGCCAATGGCGAGGGGCAAGTTCCTACAGCCAAACAGGATAAAAGATACATTAGTCCCACAGTCCCATCCCTATGTCTCCTTTAATCCTTAGATTCTTCCCCTGCCATACCATCTTTCCAGGGATGGGGCTTCCTGCTGCAATTTTCTGGTGCCTTTGGCTCTGAGCTAGCCTAGGATATTAGCTCAAGCCCCGAGGCTCTAAACTCTTATGAACTAAAGAGCATCAGGGGAAAGAAATATCACATTCATAGAAAGGGCCAAGCAAAAGAAAGAAAAAGGATTAACAAAGAGCTATGTCACAGCACAATAATAGCACAGGAAGATGGGAGGTTTCTTTGACTTTTTTACATCGAAAGGCCTATTGATGTCAGTATCCCTTCTTAAGGCTATTAACACTGGAAAAATCTGTCTTAAGGTTGGGAAATATAAGAAATTATGAAATCTAACATCTCCAGACAATAGTATAGGCCGTTAGCAGGAAGAACAGTGTATGTATCTGAATGAGCAACCTGGGAAATATGTCCACCCCACCCCTTCCTCAGTTTGAGAACCTTGGGTGCCATACTAACTGGTGGCTAAGGGAGAGACAAAGACATCTCAAGATTCCCCTAGCGCAACAAAGCCATTATCTTTAAACATCCTTGACAGTGAGACTGCCCCCCAAAAAAGAGAGGACAAATACTGTCCAGTCATTCAGCTTCTGTCCGGTAGGTGGAAGCACCATGCAGGCCCGGATCTTGCTTATTATCTCTGCTCCCCAAGGTTGCAACACTGGATGTATACCAAGAGTGTTCTTTGTTTCTCAAAGCCAAAAGGGGTCTATTGATATGAGAATTGTTATTCCTTTGACTTGAAAATTTATAGAAACTCCATTCCCTGGCAAATTTTAGTTCCCAGAATCAAAATTTTAGAGCCAGGAAAGGCCCTGGCGATCATATAATTCAACCTCCTCAACTACAGATAAGGAAGCAGGCAAAGAGATGCTGAGCCAGCTAATCCGTGGAAAGACAGACTCCAGGCCCTTGACTCCCTATCCAGTGCTCTTTTCACCCTGAATGACTACAGAATCATTTAGAGTAACCTTGGAGAGGTGATAAAGTTGAATCACTGAAACAATACCATGTTGTCAGTATGAATTTGGGAAACAAGTATCAGTTCAATAGGAAGCCTTCTATGGCCTAAAGTTGGAGATAAGGGTGGGTGAAAGATCTATCAAGGAACATCTATAAAAAAGCATACACAATCTAAAAATAAACCCATACAAAAAAAAAGGAGACACCAGGGGGTTTACATCTCAGCTCTGTCACTGTGTGACCATGGACAAGTTACTTCATCTATTAAAATGGGACTGATAAAATCAACCTCAGAAGCAGTTGTGGTAAGCTTTCTGGCACAGAGTAGGAGCTCCGTAAATGATGTCTATCATTAGCACTGTGGAAAGTTGATGGTGAGGTACCTACCTCTCAGGATTCTTGATCTCTTCGGTGACATAGTTGAGGGTGTCCCAGCCCGAGTAGGAGAACAGAGCCGAGTATAGGGCCAGGGCAATGTCACCCATCACATATGATGAACCCTCAAAAGAATTCTCAAAGTGAGTCGAGGCTCCTGGAACCCAGAGAACATTGGAAGGCAGAAGTATTACTGGCCCAACTCCCTGACTTCAAGGTGATCCAGTAAAGAAGTGGAAGAATATGGTTATAACAGCAGGTAAGCAGCTTAGAACACCTTCAGCAGCAAGCCTACCCATGAAGGAACAGGTAGAAGAGAGACATCTACAGAGATGGGCTAGAATGGATGGGACATCATGGGGCTGTTGACAGGATGGGCCTGGGGCCGCTTTCAAGGATAAGTTACCAGGGAGCAGAAGGGCTGGAGCATAAGAGTGATGCAGCTCTGTTCTGCACCCTGCCTAACTTCTGCGCCCTTTCTAACACCAGACAGAGCTGATACAGGCTAGAGAAAGGCATGGCTCAATATGCCCAGGTCAACAGAGTATCTGTCAGGTAGGTGTTCATACCTGAAGACTGGAGAGGAATGGAACAAGGAGTTCATTTCTTCCCTTACCCATTCCCAAGGGCAGAAAAATAGCCACAGCATTTGGGTTCAGCAATCAGCAAAAGCCAACTCCCAGGGCAGGACTATGAGCCCTTTTGCCAAGGTCAGCCTCCTCTGAGAGGCAGCATGCATAGAAGTTAAACTACAGGTTTGGGAGTCAGTCTCCCTGGGTACAAATTTCAGTTCCCCACTTACTATCTAGTGACTTTGGCAAGTTACTTAACTCTGTGACCTTGGTTTCCTCATCTACAAAACAGGGATAATAACAGCACCTACCAAATAAGGTTATTGTGAGAATTACGTGAGAAAATGGACAAAGAGCACTTAGAAAAGTGTAGCTCATGGAAAATGCTTAACAAATATTAGCTGTTATTATTATTTCTTACCCTGGCCAAGTCTAACAATGCCTGCAATGATGACTGCAATCAGCGCCAGTACTTTAGCATAGGTGAAAATATCTTGTACCAGGGTTCCCCACTTGACATAGGCACAGTTAATGAAGGTTAAGAGACCTGAAAGAAAAAGAATACTGATTGGTGACTGACCCTATCACCCAGAGGGCATTAGACTCCCGAGCAATTTTTCTAGTACTAGTCATGAAGATAGACCCTTTGGCCAAAGACAGCATCAGGGTTCAGGCTCTGACCTGCTCTGTATTGGAAACCTCTACCCCAGAATGTCCTCACCATTATCATTCAAAGGTACTTGCTGAACGCCAGTGTATGTAGCACCACCACCACCACCCCAGTAGCTTGTATGGGAGACATGAAACAAAGTGACCATGGATCTGCTTGTACACAAAAGTGCACCCAAATTCCCAGTCACAGAAGTGGGAGGCAACTGATAGTCGTACAGGATTAGTGATGTGTTCGGCTGTTGGCTCTGAAAAGTCACGGTCACTCCCCTTCCCCCAACACGGGCTCCAGGACCCAGCACGCTGACTCTGCGGTGTTATTGCTGAGTTTTGTTAACCTTGATGAGTCCTGTTGTGATTTATCCAATGTCTGGGCCAGCAGGTCAGGACATGTGGCCAAGGATTAGGATCAGGGCCAGACTTCCTGCCCACTCATTGCCTGCCAACTCAGCTGCTTGTTTTCATGTTTGGAAAGATTCTTGCAGCTAGGAGAGGGGCCTGCAGAATGGGGACAGGGCATTTCTCCTGGCCAAACAATGCAGAAGAGCCACAAACATTCCTCGAGCCCTTCTACCCTGGAGTAAAAGCAACCACTTTCAACCTGAGTGAGCGTCAGCAAAGTTTATGGATCACCTTTCAGAGCTAGCATTCTTAATTAGGGCCATGAGCTTCACAAGCCCCTGAAATGCTTTGCAAAGCATTATGTCCATGTGAGTATATGCATTTTTCTAAGAAGAGAGTCCATAGCTTGCATCAGAATCCCAGAGAAATCCATTTCCCCCAAAAAAGTTGTAAACCACTACTTTAAGAAATTCAAGGGTAGCCCACACAAGCTGTGAGGTTGACCAGTAGCCCCAGGATGTGGCAGGGGAAGAAAGTCAGAAGAAATGATTCTGAAACTCAACAGAATGTTCCTTGCATCCCCTTCCAACCTCTTAAGCAGTCAGGCAGGCATGTTACAACATACCTTCCCCACAGGTGGCAGAATGAATTGCTTCATTGCACTAAAGGATGACTTAAGTCTTTCTTCAAGAACTCCAAGGAAAAGATCAGAGTTACCTTGCCTTACCAATAGAGAAACAGCAGCCCAGTACTGGGCTTGCCTGCTTCAGGCCACCAACATAGTAAGTACTCCCTGTCTCAGAGTGCTACTGGCAGTAGGTGGTCCTTGGTATCCCAGGGTCCTCCTGTTTTGGTGTGTTCTGGCCTCATCACACTCTGCCCAGAGACTACTTCATCCCTCAAAGTAGGAGAGACCAGCATCTCAGAGCAGCTGTCCCATCTTCTAGCTCTCAGTCTCCCTTATGCCCACCTATTCTACTCAAGTAGAATGCCCAAGTTCTTTTCTGCTCTTCCCGAAAAAGGGTATTCCTATACAAACGCTTGCCTTTCTTCCTAATAAACAATAAACAACCAAATCTTATCACAGGGCTGGGCCAAAATGCACCCATAACTCCAGGCCACCATGGTACTAAGTTAATAATTAAAGACACATGTGTCCGGTCCCCACTAAATGACCAAAGTATCTGTATCTTGCCCTCTACAAATCTTTCAGATCTGTTGATTCCCCTCAGCTCAGCCAGCCTTTACTCCACACTGGACTTCTGCCTCCAACTATCCAACAACCTTCATACCACTTCTCCCCATGCTGTGACCTCTACTGCCTCCTGTATAGGCTCTATAAGCCAGATTTCTGATTAGAAACACCAGAGACAACTGAAGCTGCCATAGTCACAGGGAATGGGATCCCCTAATACAAATTCTTAGCCCTCAAGGTAATCATGGGTCACAACACCAAATTGGAATAGGATTAAGGGATGAGCTCTAGTTCAGAGTCAGAGTCGGCAGTGGTGTGCCACAGGTTCTGTTCTCAGCTCTGTGCGGGGATGTGAGCATCCACCCACTAGTTCTCCTCCCACCCTCACTGCTGAGCCTGATTTCTCAGTCACTGACCCACCATCATGCCCTAATCTGCTCTCTGTATTGAGCATAAGGGTCATATTTATTGTAGTATTTATGTATTTGTTAAAAAATCAAATTATATATTTTTATTAAATCAATGACACATTGTACACATTTAATATGTATAAAACTGCTACGCTTTTTACTAGGCTCTTATCTTTTTTTTTCTTTTCCTTACATTATTTTTTTTATTCTACTTTAGATGAAGGTTTACAGAACAAAATAGTTTCTCATTAAACAGTACACATATTGCCCTATGACAATGGTTAAGAATCCCACTACATGTCAACACTGTCCTTACTCAACCTTGGATTCCCTACTACCAGCTTTCCTGTCCCCTCCTGCCTTCTTGTCCTTGCCCCTGGGCTGGTATGCCCATTTAGTCTTGTTTTGTTTTATGGGTCTGTCTAATCTTTGACTGAAGGGTGAACCTCAGAAGTGACTTCATTACTGGGCTATAAGGGTGTCTGGGGGCCATACTCTCAGGGTTTCTCCAGTCTCTGTCAGACCAGTAAGTCTGGTCTTTTTGTTTGTTTTGTGAGTTAGAATTTTGTTCTACATTTTTCTCCAGCTCTCTCTGAGACCCTCTATTGTGATAACACAAGGGACTCATTTTAAATGAAGAAGGGGATCTTGTGGAAAGAAACCAGGGAGCAGAGATAACTGCCTGAAGAGAACTTCCTCCAGGGCCTCTTGGCCGTGGGAGCAGGAAATGGTTATGGCCAGCAGCAGTGCTGACTGGGCTCTTTCTCCCTACCCCAGGCGGATACAGCTGATCAGCAGCCCCAGAGCCCAGCCAAGTGTGCTGCTCTTGAAGTGGATGGACTCTAACCTTATGCTTCAGAGGCCAAGGACAGGAGGGGACCGTGGGGTTAAAATAATATGGAGGCAACTGCCAAGTTAACTTCAAGGAAAAGACTCCCTACCCTCCCATCCCCAGGTACAATTCAGTCCCCACCCGGTACTGGGCCAAGTCCACAGTAGGATGGCCAAGGAATCGACTTTGGCCCTTGACTCAGGTGCAACTCCATTCTCAACCCCAGGGGGAGGAAGGAGAAGCTATGAGGCAAAGTCACTCCTATAATCACCTAGAGACACTCCTGAATGGATAGGTCCTCACAGCCAGCGTACACAGTCTCTCCTGGAGTGGGAGGCTAGTTCCAGTACTAAGGCCCAGAATCAGCTCTCAAACTAAAAGCCAGGAAAACATTGCACTAGGTTGATCCAGAACAGAACAAAGCATCCAGGCCCACTCTAGATCAGACACCCAGGTTTTATTTAGATGCTCAAACTAAACAGTCTCTAAAAAAGAACATTTATCCAACAGTTCTCCCAGCACCATTAGCACAACACACAAACCTTAGGGTGCTATTTAATCCACCTTCTGCTTCAAATTCCCATGGACTATATAACCTCCATACTTTCTTAGGCAATTCATTCTATTTTTTAACAGATTTATAGTTCTTCCTTCCACTAAGCCAAACACGTTCCTCACACCTTCTACCCAGTGGTCCTAGGCTTCTCTGGACTAAGTTACAGGAGCTATAGGAAACGAATACATCACTCAACAAGGTGTTTTCACATCCTTCCTGTTCTTCAAGATCTGAAATTCCTGGTAGTAGTTCTGTGATCTCAACTAACTATAAATTCTATTTGTCTGTACCTAGATACTTAACACTTTCTTAACACAATGACATGCTTTATTATCATCCCCTCAACTCTCTTGACTTTGCTTCTTTGTTGGCCTAACCACGTTTACTGAGCCCTTTCTCGGCTAGCAACCCTTCTGCTACACATAGAAGTTTAGAAGGAAACAGACCTTGTGTCCTTCTCCTTTCTCTCCATCATCTATTATCATAGAACTAACTGCCCCCAGAGAATCCAGCCCTGACCGTGATAGTCTCACTCTGAGTATTCCTCTCAAAAGTATTTATTATCCTTAGTCATTTCTTCAGATCTTAGTTTATGCCAGGCATTAACCTTCAGGACATTCTTATTGTAGCTCTGGGCCACACTTGTATCTAATCTTGATTCCATCACCTCTCTGCCATGTCTTGCTTATCTTGTTTCTAAAATCTAAATTCACCAAAAAGCAATCTGATCAGTCACATTGGTTTTTTCAGATGAGTCTTTTTTTCTAACTAAAGATCATTTTCAACTATGTTATCAAAATTTCATTTTTGAGAACCTCTTGGTCCTTTTTTTTTTTTTTTTTTTTAAATCCCTGACTGCAGTGCAATGGATCACTTTTATATGGCTGGCAAACTAGGGTGCCTCTGGGCACTTACTGATGGAGCTAAAAAGCTTTGTAACACTTGCCCCAGCAAGGCAGAGGCCAGGCTGAGGGGCCAAGGGCCAGAGAGAGGCCTGCCTGGGGCACGGCTGAGAAGAGGCTGTCCTGATGGAAGAACCATCTCCTGAGTTGTTTCTCATTCCGAGTTGTAACCTGTCACTTCCCTAATAAACCCCATCACTGTGAGTATGGTCTGTGAGTTCTGTGTGGCCATTGCAATGAATTATTAAACCCAGCAGAGAAGTAGAGAGTGCCGTGGGAGGAACAGCTGGTGTCAGAACTGGTAAAAAGGTTGGAGAGTGGAGGTATGGCTGACCTCCACCTCTTAAGAATCAGCCCTGGGCTGTTGATCTTGATTCCCTCTCCTCTTCATGAAGTTAGAGGAGGTCAGATGCCCCCACCATGCCATTTTTACACTGGCCGTGAGATTATAATTTTGTTTTCCCTGAACTTTTTTGCAATCTGTTTGCCTAAAATTTTGAGTGAGGAAACCCAGCATTTCTTTTCCTGAGAGGTATAAACTCCTAGCAGGCATTGTCATTTCCTCCCAAGGATTCCACATTTCCCCTGAATATGTTAAAAAATAATAATAAATATTTAATTTTAAAGTCCTTATCCTTTAG